AGCTTATTTAATCAATCAATTCGACACATTAATTTTTTGTCACATTGTGCAAATAATTTGGGAGCTCGTTGAAAATGGCCATATTGACAGAGAAATACTTTTTTTTCGTTGCTTCTTTTGGCTTTGGTTATTTTTGGTTGACCACCAACGGGAAAAAAAGACGTGCATTAATTCACATGCGCATTTAGGCTTTAAAAGAAGCGGAAACCAAACATTCAAAGCGACACAACCAACCAAAAAAGGGCATAAAAAATACTGATCTTCGAACGAGAAGAATTTGGGTCATCAGTTTAACCGGCATGAAAATTTGAGCATCGCAGTTTATACATCTATAAGATATGCCTGTCTATAAGATATACCAACACGAACATCCTTAATTTTTAAACGTACGTGTCGTGATTGCGGAAATAGTTTTATTTTGGCCAATGAACCGCATGACTTGCCTTTCGATGGTCGTAAAATAGGCGAACTGAACCAAGCAAATACGATACACGACCAATGAAAGCGAGAACGAAGAGAGAAGGAAGAGAAGAGAATTGAATTGAAGTGAAAAGAGAGAAACTAAAAGGCAACGGAGTGATAGAGCTCTATTCGTGACACATCCATCTTTATTCGATCTGCTTGTGACGTTCAACAGAATTATAGTCAAAATCAGAGCTGAAGAAGAATAAGCAGCATATTTCAGCCTCGATAACAGATGCCACTTATTTCGCCACTGTTTCGATCCATTGAATGCGTTGAGAGAGAGAGAGAGAGAAAGAGTACGGTTTGATATAACACTTTGACCATCGCAAATCGGGCCAATTGGTGTTGTCATCGTTGTCTTTCATGTGGCAGCTGTTGTAACAGATCCAACCTTTTCGATTCACCTTTCCCCCTCGAAAATAAAAACGAGCACAGGAGTGTCGCTGAAATTTTGATGTACATTGCATACGAAACTCATTGTACGTTGACGATGATGATGTGACAAATGCGTGTGTGTGTGCTGTAAGTGTTCAAAGAGCCATCACAATCATTAATATTAAATTATTAGGATGACAAGCGATGCAACCGGGCGCTTGATCTCTTCGAGAGCTCCTATCTGTGTGCGATGTACGTAAACAATGTGCATGCGTGTGTACTTTACAATTTATGCATCATCCATTTTACATGTTTTGAGTGTTTCATGATCTATGGACTTATGTCATGTTCAAGAACGGTTTCCGTCATAGATATGTTCTTTTCCTTCCCATCCCATTCCATAATTCCATATCCCGCATTCTTCTGTACTCTCTCATACATATATATAATGTATAATTAATTGTCTCTCTCTGTGTGTGTTTGTGTCCCATTTTTGGTGCAGTGAAGCAGCTTCAATCTGCTTGTGATAAATTATCTACTGGACCGAAGTGTGAAAATGTCTATCGTAAATGGTTTAACGTCACTAATTGTGGTGAAAATCACTCTTTTGTTTTAATAGCGTTGCGTTTGTATGGTTGAGTGTGTGTGTGTGAGTGCGTGTGCATGAGAGAGCGTACAATAAATGGCATCAATCCATCCAGCGCAACACACTTGTTGAAATTGAATCTCTTTGTCTATAAATGAAACGCAGACCATGAACGGTACTGACACACTGGCTACCCAGCTATGCCCAGATCCAATGCTGTACGATGGCTTTGTAAATCGTTTCAATCAAAATCACCCTCGATTAAAACATCTATGGCCATCGAGCTACGAACACATTCACGATACAACAGCACAGCACAACGCACCACACCACACCACACATAAAATACTCAAATCACACTTATTCACTGGAAAACTCTTCATCAAAATTGAACAGTTTTTTTATGGAGTTGTTTTCATTGTGTCGGATGTAATTTCATTAAAATGCTGTGGCGTCCAAATCGAAAAATTAACGGCTATACGCTGAAAAATAAGCACAAAATCGCCCAAAAGTTATCGCTGATAAGAAAAGGCATTCTTGACTGAATTGCTCTTTGTACTCTTCGTACTCTTCTTCATTCCGTATGAAATGTTGTGCGGTTTTATCTATTGTATTTTAACACCTTCCATAAATACTCAAGGGACAGTACACTCGTTGCCTTTCTCACTCATTTCATCGTTTTTCATTGTGCGTTGTGTGTGTATGTATATTATGGGGCATTTCTGTGCCATGTGCTGTGTATTGTAGTAAAAACAATCGTTTCTTTTTTTTATTCTCTCTCTCTCTCTCTCTCTCTCTCTCTCTGTGTGTGTGTGTGTGTCTGCCTCTCTCATCGGATGCTTTATCACATTGGCACAAATTACCATAGCCCCAAAAATTTTGCGCCAAAAACCAGCAAGTGCCTGTGCGCGCTTAGCATGTGCACTTCAATATTTAGAAATAGATTTGGATTGCAATGCTGTCGAAAAGAAAGACTACACTCTCGAGACCACAACAGCTAAAGTGCTTTTTACCGCTAAGACGAATATAAACAACATTGAACAAATGTTTGCATGCACACTGCTTTATATTTGTGTGCGTATTGTGTGTGTATTTGCATGTAGCATGAATGTGAGCAATTCCCATTTCCATAGGCAGTCAACACATAACCAATTGCCACCGAAGTTGCTCTTTCTGTTGTGAATGCAAAAAATCTTTGTCAAAACTGTTTGATTTGCGTTGCGCATACCAGCAACCAATTTTCCTCACTGAACGGAAGCAAAGGACAAGATGACAAAGCTCTGAAAGACGACAAAAATACAGAATAAGAGAGGAAACTGCGAGAGATAGAGAAAGAGACAGGCTAAAAAAGCATATAAAAAGAAAGCGGAGCACAAAGTTTGCGGAAAAGTATTCAAGCAACAATTTGCTAAAATGTTCATTTCAAATAAAGCAAGTGGTCGGTTTTAAACCAAGTGACAGTTCATGACAATGGGGTTTTTTGTTGTGCAGACTGCTGCAAGGTGTGTCATTTGAAGTCGGTCGACTCGGTTTATATTCTTGAGCAAACATTTGTGGCTTTATCTACATTTTCCATCGGCTTACACCAAAGAAGAAGAAAAAGAAGGAAAAGCTATACGTATTTCGCATATATTTTCCAATCTGTGAAACGCAATCGATCGAATGCAATTTAAAACTAAATATTATCAATTCCATTATGCAAGCTCTCTCTCTCTCTCTCTCTTTCTCTTTTCTATATATATGTTTCTCTGTCTCTTTCGCACTCTGTAGTGAAGTTGTTGAAAAAACCCATTTTGGAAAATGTTCCGCCCGTTCGAAACAATGTTTATGTAACCACAGGAAATTGATTGTATTCCATTTTTCATGGTTGATTATTGAATCCGTCAACATAAATGGGTGCTTAATATTATTCGATCTCTATTATGTGTCGTGTTATGGCATAGTTTTGCTGAAGTAACAAAACCGCAGTTATGTGAAAAATTGGCGGTGGAAAAAATACAGTAAGCCACAGTGTGTGTGAACGTGAAAACGAGATTGAAGCTGGCTGACGCAGAAAAAAAAAAACGAAATGAGCTAACTAGTATTTGTAGGGACAAAACACACACGTGCACGCACCGCACCGATGTGTTAATATCCTATATATCGCATATAGTCAAAAAGCGAACTACAAAAATACACACAAACACGTATCTTTCGATCGAAATGTTTGCCGTTTGACGTTTTTGGTGGATGAAAAAAAAGTGTTATGCCTTCATGAAATTACATTCGACACTAATTAACCATCGAAAAAAAGCAACACCACCGAAAGAAATTCTCATAATGTTTTTGTTTATGGTTATGAGTATTTGAGCTTGAATAACACCATATAAATCTTGAACATTGATTGATTACAGGATTTCTCCATGCGTTTCAATTCAACGGCAAGTTGAACGCGTGCTGTGTGCGAACAACTAGTTAATAGTTCAATAGTTACGCGGAAATGGTAAAAGTCTTATTATTTTGCGAATACCATGCGGTTTGGCTTCGTAACTTTGTTCATTTTTCTGCGCTTCGTGCTGGACGAAGTCGAGAGTCAATATAAGAAGAGCAAAAAAAATACAACTTGTGTCGCATATTTTTCTTTTTGTTATATCCATATCGGGATACATATTCTGTGTGTGTTTGCATAAAGCTCCATTAAATGTGGAACGACGTGAATGAATTACTTTTACCTGTTTCTATTTTGCAAATTCGAACACATGCATTTGGCTAATGTCGAATTTTGCTGTTGGTTTTCTTTTGCTTTGTCATTTGATTGAAACGTGTCAAAGTAGAATATAATGATGCATATTGATTGATTTGCGGAATGAAAATGTAACGAGGAAACAACCAAAATTCGTAAAGAATAGGACAAAATAGCGGAATAAAGACGAATAATATTCAAATGCATGGAAATAACATTAATTACACTGGAGGGGTGGAACAGACAGAAGAAGAAAAAAGAATGAATGAAAACACTCATATATGGTTGCTGGTTTCTTTCCTTCGCTGTTGTTGTTGTACTTATTATAGCGAAAAGTTTGCCTCTTGTCAGTCGCATTTAGTGACTTTCAAAACTTAATCAACCATTCTATCAGTGCATGTTGCTTGAAATTGGTGAATTTGAGCACTTTATCAGCAATTTTTGTCAAGTATTTCTACATGATCTTTATTGTGTGCAAGCAAACACTACGTTCGACCAGAAAAAAAAGAGAAACGGAAAAACGACAAAACTGTTTTCGCTATCCATTTTAAGGAACATGACAGAAAACGATGAACAACATAACTATACACACGACACCAGTGTGGTGCAGAATGAAAATGAATGGAACAACGGAATCGCAAAATCGACCCAAAAAACAAGCAATAAAACAACACAAACGTTAACAAATCCAAGACAAACCGAAAAGACAATAAAACGAAAGACTCTAAATCCACGTATATTTTGATATTTTCTATACATAAAATGCAACGCTAAGAAGAGAAATTCGTTTTTTTTTCTCTATCTCTTTAGTCCCGACTTGATGAACAAATATTGTGTGTTGGCATGGCTTACCCTTGTCACTTTTTCTTTGGGAACCTCGGTTTGATCGCATGGTGAATCACCGCACTGAAAGTAGAAAAAAACCGTTGAGCATAACAGAAAATTGATTATCCTTTTTGTCATTTTTGGTTTTGGTTTTGGTTTGCTTGCATATTAATTAATTTGCTGTCATTTGAAGGTAGTACAAATTCATTGGAAACGCATTCTCTCCCGATACCACAAACGTATGTACGCAATTTGAATGTTGGAAAATATATCAAAAAGTCATATATGAATAATTGAGTGGAATTGAAGAATGAAAATGAGAAAAAAAAGCAACAGCAACAACAACATCATACACTCAGCTTGATAAATAATATTTCATTTCGATTTCATGAAAGGAACGAAATAAAAATAAACTTTGATAAAGTTAAAATATATATTCGGAATCAACCTCTCTGTAAAATGCCGATGGTTGAACTTTTTCATTTCGTCGTCGTCGTCGTCGGCGGCGGCGGCGGCGGCAACGGCAGCGAAAACAGATTCAAATTCCCTTTTTCTTGTTCATTCAAAAGTGGATACGAAATTCAATTCATTGAGTGTATTTCCCTTGTCAATGTCCATTTGAAAGAATGAAATAAAAATTGCCAAGTAATTTTTTCAAGTATGAATTAAATTGACGACGATATTTGAAGCAAATGTGGACAGCGAGGACGACGACGACGACCGCCAACGGCGCACACACCAAAAATAATGTTGAATTGACAAATAATTCAGTAAGTAGAGGCATGAAAGGAGCGAGACAGCAGAACGAGACCGTGATAAAGGTGGGTAACGAAAAATATATTCATATACACCCATTCAATGTATATTATTGTTCATGTATGTGAAATATAGTAGTCCTCTGCTGAATTATTCATTCGCATCGAAAGTAGAAAAAATCAATAAAATATCTAATGGAACTCCTAGAATTGTATTTAAATCATGCAATTTATGGCAAAGTATGCATATATCAAACAGACGACGACGACGACGACGACGATCGCATACACACCGAACAACAATAACAAATATCGAAATATGAATACAAGTGCTATTAGGTATATTTCTGCCGACCGAATGAATGAAAAACTTCGGTTCGATATGAAATGAAAATATCAACAGCATATTGTAAAAACAGTGCATCAGCGGAGGTAGCAACTTATGGAATCTTTCGATTGGTGTACATTTATGCCGGTAAAACGTTTGTGAGAGTGAAAAATGTATGCTACATGTTCAAAGCGTTTGTGCTTTTTTTTCTTGGTTTGTTGGTCGATAAATGGGAAAAAGTGCGCAGTTCATGGATGTCATAGCTAGGAAGTTCACAATGCATAACTACAGAGAGAAGAAGAAGAACTAAAGGGAAAGAAGCAACTGTGAACTCAGAATATTTGGCATACACACACACACACACACACACACACACACACACGAAAAATCACTCGTGTACGATATTTTACGTGAGAGACTCTTTGATGATATGGAATTGTTTGCTTTGTCAATGTGATCTAATGTGGGCGATTGCTATAGCTATATCCTGATTGTAAAACCATTTTACCGCTTTAAAAGCGGGCGTAGGGCGCATACCACGCATTTATCCATTAATAGAATGTTGAATTTCGTCACACGAATGAATATGAAACTTGGTTGGCACGGTTTCCTTTTCTTCTTTTTTTTCTCCTTCACTTTTGGTGTATGAATGTATTTTTGTGTAGGCGATACTTAATATTTAATTACGGTTTCATAACATTACTTCTAAAAATTTTGTGGACACAACAACTCAACGGGTTTGCCCACTTTTTTCATTGTGATTTCTTCATATACAGACATATGCTCATTGCTTGTGTCTGTTTCACTGGTAATGGGCCAAAGCGAAGTGGCAATGTTAATCGATGCTGTAGTCGAATCTATTTTATGTGCGGCGCCTCACTTCCTCCAAATATAAAATCGATTTCCTAGTTTACATTCCCGTTTGCCACACACAAACACACTACCAACGAGACATTTGACAATTTAATATGGTAAATGTTGTTGCAGATTCGCTTTCTCTCTCTCTCTCTCTCTCGCTTTCCCGTATGCATTTCTAAAACTTCAACCCGATAGCCCCCGAGCAAAGGGAAGATAAATGTGCAATGACCTTATACATACACATGAAAACCACTACCCACATTTCACACGGTTGCACCGAAGATGGAAATCACAATTCGCAGTGCGCTCGCAAAACGTGCACTCGAATTCGAATATGACCGAGTATGAGTGTAAGAGAGTGTGCGTGTGTGTATGCTCACCGCCAATTTCGTTTCAATGCAACCATAATGAAAAATACAATTGGAATTGTGTTGAGCAAATACTGGATTGATGGATTTTCAGTGATAAAATCGGACAATTCGGCCGCTAATTTGGAATTTGACACACCATATTTGTTGAATGTGCGCTCGGTTAGGTTTTTTTTTAAATTCGTATTTATTTGTATTAAAAATACAAGTCAATTAAATTGAAATTGGCCATGGGTTTGAGTTTTTGAACGCACACGTCAACACAATTATTTTCAACCACACAAATTGTTTTCTGCATCACAAATAGACTTGTTTGTTCGATTTTCATTTCGTCAACGGCATTTCGAACAAACGATGTGGCGACTCTGAATTAGTAAAAGAATAGAAAAAAAACATAACAATAACGACGTGCACAACAAGGGAGCCAGAGCGACAAAGGGGCTGTGTGTGTGTGTGAGTGAGTGAGTGAGAGAGAGAGAGAGAGAGAGAGAGAGAGAGAGATGGAGCCGAGCAGATAGAATTGTGTGTGAAAATTCAATATGAAAATGAGCGTAGTACGGCCAAGTACCATGCAATATTAATAGGTTGTATGGCAATGCCCATAGCGAAATACCTGAACTGAACCATGAATAAAATATATGGCGTTGGGTTGGTTCATATGGCATTTTTCTCTCTCTCTCTCCCTCTCTCTCTCTCCCTCTCTCTCTCTCTCTCTCCATTTATAGCACCGTTCATGCTAAATTTATTGTGTTTTGTATAATTTCCAAAGCCGTTGAACGATGGCAAGATTTTCAATTTAGAACAATGTGTTTTTTTTCTCTCTCTCTCTCTCTCTCTCTCTCTCTCTATCTGTCTGTTTCGGTTTTCGGTTTTTCTTCCAAAAATAACCTGATTTATTTTATTTTATTTAGGGGCTACGTCATCGTCACATACACACATATTTTGTGCGTCATAGCGTACATAGTGCAAAGTCATTGTTCAGTAAGAGACGGAGAGAGAAAAAAGGGAGAACTGATTGAAAGCAAGTGATGCTGATGATGTGAAATGATTATTCATCAAAGTAGAATAAATGCTCTGATTTACTCATGCATCGAATGAATTTATCAATGTTGACACTTGTTCCACGCTCATTCATTGATGACAAGTCCAAGTGAGGGCAGAAAGAAGCTCTCACTCTCTCTCTCTTTCTGTCTCGGCCCCAATTTGAAAATCCAAAATAAGCCGATTTTTGAACAAAGTTCGTCAAGCTATTGTGTGACATAGCTCTACGTATTCTGTTTCGAGAATTTACCAAACATTTCCCAACAAATTACAATCTTCTTAATGCGTACCACCAACCATCCATTTTTATTCGCTCTCTCTCTCTCTCACTCTCAAACGCTTTGTTTTTTTCTCTCTGTTGTTTTTGAGTTTCGGGCACATTTGAGATTCGATGATATTTCAGAAAATGCTCTGCCATGTGCATAAAAATCTATTTCTTACAAACTGAGCAACTAAAATGTGAACCAATTTCAATGACCTTTTCTCTAAATGTGCTGCTGTTGATTTTATTGTTGTTGTTATTAATGCGTCTGCTTCATTTACTTCGTTCACCACAAAATGTCATGCGATAAAAGAGAGAGAGAGAGAGAGAGAGAGAAAACTTTAGAGTGCCGAAGCCGAAGAAGAAGAAATACATCGAAATAATATAAAGTGAATCACATCCATGACGCAGCTTGTGATCTATTTTTATTGAGTTTTGACATGTCTGTACATTTGGTTGTAAAATATGTAAACGTTCCCACCGATTCCGTACAAGTGGAAGGACGAAAATGGCAAATTAACAGGCTTTGGAAAATTAAGTAGACGTTTTTTTAAATCGCCGTTATATTTAAATGGATCGTTCGACGGCATGTACAACACGCAGCATTTAATGACTTTATGACAAAAAAGGTTAGATTTATATTTTCCTTTTCGGTCTCTCTTTCTCTGCGCCATTTGTTGTTCTTTTGTGCTTAGTATAGAAGTAAAAAAATGTAATTCTTATTACTTTATTACCTACTTATTACTTTAATAAGATGACTTTTTACTTATTACGCATCTTATTACAAAGTAATAAGATGAGTAATAAGTAATAAGTCTATCTTATTACAGTAATAAAATGAAAGTCATAAGTAATATGTAATAAGTTACTTATTACTTTACCTCTATAGTGCTTAGGAAACTATTTGCGAATGAAGTGCGTTAAAAGTGGTTGGTGTACTTCGAAGTGATTACCTAAACAATGTGATGATAATGTATCAAAAGCAATGAACAGTTTATCGTATTGCCGACAATTTGTTGTCGCTGTCGCTGTCTATATTTCTTCTGTTTTGGATTCTTCTTCTTTATTTGCTGTAGCTTAGAACGTTCATGAAACCGCTGTCAGGTGCCAGGTCGAGAGAGAAGCAAAAATAAAGCGCACGTCGAAAGATTCTCGTTGGCATTGCATGAAAAGTGCCATTTATCAAACGAGAGAAGAAAAAACCAGCTCAAATATTTTCATAAAATATTATCAGAGAAACGAAAGCTGCGTTTGTTGCTATCAAATCGATTTCCATCCATTAGGCGCGCGCGCTTTTGGCGCACCTTGATATTTGTTCAGCCGTGTGTCTCTCCCCCCCCCTCTCCACCTCGACCTCTCTTTTCTTCTCCACTGTTGGCCTTCTTATTGCACGGGGATTGTGTGTGTGTGTGGCAAAGAGAATGTTTGAAATTTCCATTTTCTAAGCTCTCAATTTAAAGAGAAATACCAGCAGAATTGAGCCATACAAATAAGGACGAGTTTGGCTGCACAAGATAAAACCTGATTTATTGGTAGCTGTGTTGTGTATGTGTGTGTGTGTGTGTGTT